AGTCACTATATGACCTGCTGGTACTAGATCTAGGGCGCTGTTGAAGGCGTCTTTGCAATTGAGTGGAACTTACGCTTCGACCGATGCGTCGTTCGGATTCCTCTTTTCCGTGTTTAGGACTACCAGATGCGGAAATTGTTTGTCTGAGGCAGGAGGGGGATTAAAGCCTACTGTAATGCTCCTTACCTTTTATTCTTACTACAGGCCTCTATGCCTTTCTATGAGCCGTTGGAGGGAGACATCCATTATGCAACGCACTCTTCCACGTCTACTGAATTCAAGACTGATGGGGAAGGAATGGACGTGTTGCAGAATGGGCTTCCAGAAAAGCGACTAGCCTAAAGCGAAGGTGTCGCCAGTGCGAAGGATTCGTGCGAGCATGGAGATGATGTGTTGCAGAGGTAAATCGCCTAATCTCGGTGTCTTTTAGTCTCCCAGTATTTTTCTACTTTTTTGCTTACCCCATCCTTCCCATCCTTATTATGTACAGGACGTCGAACTGTCCTCTTTGTTGATCGTTTTCTGGGTTATTGGAAATTACACATGCTCCAAAATATACCTGCCTGAATAAATAGCTTACTTATTTATCGCCTGCTGCTTGATGTTTGAGATCTGACAGATTCAATAGCTGATGTGATTGCAAGTATGTAGGTGGGTGGAAAACTAGTGATGGAGCAACGGAAAACTAAATGGGTAGAGGGGAATTGGGATGGATAGGTAGGAACTTGAAGCTGGTCTATTTGAATCCGTTGGGTGTTTATTACTTGTTGTAAGTCATGGAAGTGTGTGGGAACACTTTTTGGGTGCCAGAATTATAAAAGTCTCATTTTACATTATTGAGTAACATGTTTTGCTTACACACCAGTGGCAATCTGAGCGGCTCTATTGAAATGTTCATTAACAAGAGATTAAAATAAGAACACTACTGCATTCAAAAAAACTTTTCATAAAAGAGTGACGCAGTTTGTTGCCGTAAGTTTTAAGTCCATTATTTGTCTGGTGTCTATTAGAGTGTGGTGAGCGGGAAAACCCATTCATTGGGGATAGAAACGAATGCAC